CTCCGTCACAGTCGGCTGCAGCCGTTACCTCCACGCCTGCTGGACCCTCCACCAGCGGCCCCGGCTCACAGCCAGCCTCCACATCCACCCCTACACCGGCTCCGACATCTACCTCTGCACCGGCGCCGACACTTGCCGCCGTAGTGCAGACCCATCAGCCCCTCTCTCCTCGCCGCCACCACAGCGGTCCCACCCTTGTGCGTCTGTCGGACATACCCGACTTCKATGGTACRATGCGTGTGACGCATTGGTTGCAGGCTGCCACACGCGCACTRACACTGACTAACACTAGTCAGGACTTGTGGTGCTCCGCTCTCGCAACTAAATTGCGAGGCAGCCCGTTCTCCGCGTGGGAGAACTATTTTGCCCATCGTGCTCGTGCAGGTGAGGCGCCCACCCTCGAGGAGTTYACYGCGTTCCTCCACGACCGCTACGGCACCCTCCATGATACGACCGATGCCATCGATCGGGTCACCCAGACGCAGTGGCGCGGATCCTCCGCACCCTCCGACCTCGAGCATCACATCCGGGTGTTTCAGGATGCCCGCCTCATTTGCGATGAGGCACTCCTACCTGAGGTCCTTCTGACCAACAGGTTTGTAGTCAGTCTCCCGACTGATTACCGTATCRAGCTCTGGCGACAGAGCTTCGCCTCTGCTGAGCAAGCCTTCGAGGCTGCTCGACAGTACCAGAAGATGCGGAACCGCTTCTCCGACACCCCATCTTCTTCGCGATCCACCGCCSCCGCCACCCAGTCACGTGGTGCTACCCGCAGTCGATCCTCCTTCGCTGGCCGGTTTCGCCGACCCGCCCGACCTGGAGCGTCGTTCTCCCGGCGCTACAGTTCTCTGGAGTACGGCGAGGACGCCTCGGCCGAGTCTGACCCTGCCCTTGGGGACGCCCCTGAGGACATCGAGCTACGAGACGTCGTCCAGTATCACTTGGATGACGACACAGTTCCGATGGCCGAGCGTTTGGCGCTGGCCATGTCTGCCATGGGTCGTGCTCGTAGTCAGGTTGCACAGGCTGGCGCTCGCACACCCACGGTTCCTCAGATAGACCTCCCGCAGGGTTATGTCCCTCCTCGCGGAGCCCTATCTCCTGAGGAGCGTGCAGCCCTTGAGGCCCGGCGCGGCTGCCTTCGTTGCCGCCTGGATGGACACACGTCCTCACGGTGTCCATACCATACCGCCCTCGACCGGCACTACGCTGACATCTCTCGTCAGCGTCGATCTCAGTCCCCCCCCGGCCCCACCAGGCCAACCCCATCCACCTAGCCACGGTGCAGCGTGCCCCTGAGGCCTCACACGTAGCCGGCTTCCCGACCACCGAGTCGCGGTTTGCCCCTTTGGCTACCCCACCAGAGGACCCCGTCGTCTGTCGAGGTACCGTCTGCCTCCCAGCAGACCGCCGCATCTAGCACTTCTCCCCCGAGACTTCCGACGCGTCGCGCCATTCGCACA